CTCTGTGGGTTTCTAGTTTCCTCTGAGGGCCAACTCTGACTCATCCTGCATGCCCTGTGTGTTGAGCACCTGCTTGCTTTAGACTGTTCTGGGTACTGGGTACAGCAGTGAACGGCGCAAGCAGCGCTAACCCTCGTGAGACATCCACTTTAGTGATACAGGGCTGTGAAGAAATGTGGAAGCAAGGGGAAGGAAAGCATGAGGAGCTCCTGTTGGAGAAAGAGAAGATGCTTTCAGCAAAGACCTAAGTGCAGTGAGGAATGGAGAACTGCCCCTTACAGACTATGGGCAGTGCCTGTGGGAAGGCCGTTAGGTGGTACCTGGGTGACATGCTCCAGGAATAGGGAAGAGGCCAGGAGCTGAGAAAGGAGAGAGGTCACATAGTTGGTGGAGGCCTCTGAGACCATCCACAGGACAGTCTGACATCTGCTTCGGGCAAGATGGGTGCCATTGCAGTCTTGAATGGCAGAGGGACATGGCTGACTTTTTAAAAGATCATTGTGGCAGCTATGAAGAACAGGGGGGCCTCAGATGAGCAGCGCCAGGCGCTCAGCTGTGAGAAGACTGCAGAAACATGCAAGGCAAGGTGGTGCCTGGATTTGCTGGTAGCAGCTGGGTCGGTGAGGAATGGCTAGAGGCCAGTGTGTGTGCAGATGGAGCCAAATGGGGTGCTGTGGGAAGGATGGGCTGGCTACAGTTGAGTGGGCAGGGAGGAGCTGAGTAACTCAGAGGATTCTAGCCTGAGCAGCCATGCAGAAGCTGATGTGATTTCCTGAAAACAAGGGAGAAATGGGCTTGGGAAGGGAAATTTGATTTGAGACATGCTAATTAAACATTCAGGAGATGTGAATGTGGAGATTAGGGGAGATGTCAGACATAACTATAAATATAAGTGTGTGTGTCATGAGCATGTGAGTGGTGTTTAGAGCCATGGGGCCAGAGGGTCCCTACATAGAGGGAGTGTGTGTCATGGTCCTCCAGCCATTCATTAAAGGGCAGGCCAGGTACGTGGTCAGGAAGATGAAGGGAGTGCTGCTTGAGGAGCTGAGTACAGAAAATGCTCCAGGGAGGAAGGGGCAATGATTGCCAGTGCAACACACCACCAGATCTGGCAGTGGGGCAGCCCCCAGCTGACAAGGTGGGACTGACGGGAGGGCGGTGTAGCTGTCGGTCTGACAGTCACAATGGAACGCGCTCACGGCGGAGTGGAGACACAAGTGTGGACAACTCTGTGGAGTTTTGCTGTAAGATGGGCAGATAAATGGAGTGTTAGCTAGAAGGCTGTGGGCTCAGGGTGCAGAGATGGAAATGATTCCATACAGAAAGGCTTGCTGCTGAGGCTGGAGTAGGGTGGGAGACCTCAAGTGAGGAGCTGCTCTTGAGGGGCAGAGTGGGGAGCTGTCACAGGGTAGGCCGTCTGAGTAGTCATTTATATGGGCACAGATGCAAGTTGAATAGTGGATTTGGTGGGCAGAAGATAGTGGGTGTTCTAGTTTCTTAGCAACTTTAAAAACAAGAGCACTGCTGAATCAGGTAGGCTGGGGGTGTTGCAGGCTGGTGGGGAAAGGAGGTGGTGTGAAATGTCTTTTGTATTTCTAGAAAGTTGGAAAAGTGAACTGATGAGGGAAATGCAGACGCAGTAGGGCAGGAAGGACTTGCGGTTATAGATGAAAAGGGTGGCGGAGAGGAAGACTTTGCCCTTCCGTACACTCATGTACACCAAAAGTTATGTTTATCCTGAGTTGGGCTTTAACCAAGCAAGTACAGTGGATGGAGAGAGGGACAAGAAGATTGGTAGTGTGAATGAAAGAAGGCAACAAAGATGGCTGTCGAAATGCAGCTGAGCAGGGATGGGCTCAGAGGGAAGATGATAGGGCCAGCGGACTGGCCTCATCATGGGATTATCATGGCAAGAGGACAAGGAAGGAGGCCCTGGCAGGAACCAGGAGGCTTGAAACCACAGTTTCCTTTTCTCTCCCCCTAACCTACTGTGTCTTAGAAGAAACTGCAGTGTCTGAAGTGATGCAGTGTGTGGGTGTGACCTGAGACTGGTGGCTGAGGAGGGTTAGCGATGACGTCCGTGAGGTCAGGGAACAGTGGGCAGTAGTGGCGGCTGACAGGAGTGGAGGGGCCGAACCCAGAGTTGTGTGGATGGCGGGGGAGTGATGGGAGCCAAGGAGGAGGCTGCAGGTATGTGTGTGTGTGTGGTCTGATGAAGGGGTCTTCAGAGAGGTGGTGATGGTAGAGGTGGTCTAAAGGGCATCATGAAAAGCAAACACACCTTCTCTACTGCAGGCCGTGAGGTTTGGTGGGTTAGAAAAACCACAGCAGCCTGTGAGAGCTGCTGGCAACACAGTGACCATGGGCAACAGGCAGGTGCTATTGGAACAAGCAGGGAGGGCAGGTTCAGGGAAAAAGAGGAGAGGATTGGCTGCCTGCAGACAGGTAGTTCCACAGGGCCCTGATAGAGTCTGCTGCCGCTGGGATATGCAAGCCTGAATGGGTGGTAGATGACTCCAGGTGCCAGGGACTGTCCTGGGGTCCTTGAGCTTCAATCGTAATTCCCATCACTGACTCCAAGCTTCTGCTTGGGGCTGCTGCCTAGTGCCTTTAATTCGTACTAAGGACCCAGCTCTCCATTCCATGTGTTTCCTTTGAGAAGGAGCCAGGCTAGAGGCTCAGAGGTGGGGTAGTGTACCTCCATTGGGAGTTCATTGGTTTGAGTGGGATTGGCGGGTAGGGGGTAGGGGGACAATAATGAAGTCTTTTAGCTGGGTTCGTATCTTACTTGGTTGTCATGACTGACCAAATAAGAGAGGTCCAGACGGGCTCCATGATTTGGATAACAACTGATTAGAACTTGACCCTCCTGACCTCTAATACTGGTGCACTCCTATGAGGGAGTTGGGGAGGTGGGCCAAGGAGGGGCCACAGGGTGGGCACAGATGCTGGAGCGCCCCTCCTGTGCCTGCAGACACCCGGGACTACATCTGTGAGTTCTGCGCCCGGTCCTTCCGCACCAGCAGCAACCTTGTCATCCACAGACGCATCCACACTGGAGAAAAACCCCTGCAGTGAGTGCTGGGGTGGGGGTCTGTGGGCCAGGGGACAGAAGGGAGGAGGCGGAGCTGGGGAGCTCGGCATACAGGACACCTAGGCTGTGGGGAGCAGGAGGGACCCCCTAGGGAAGTCAGGATGGCCTGAGGCCTGTACCTTCCCTCCTCTGTCCCTGGCTGCAGGTGTGAGATATGCGGATTCACCTGCCGCCAGAAGGCCTCCCTGAACTGGCACCAGCGCAAGCACGCAGAGACGGTGGCTGCCTTGCGCTTCCCCTGTGAAGTCTGCGGCAAGCGCTTTGAGAAGCCAGACAGTGTTGCAGCCCACTGTAGCAAAAGTCACCCCGCCCTGCTGTTAGCCCCCCAAGAGTCACCCAGCGGCCCCCTAGAGCCCTGTCCCAGCATCTCTGCCCCTGGGCCTCTGGGGTCCAGCGAGGGGTCCAAGTCCTTTGCATCTCCTCAGGCTCCAACCCTGCCCCCTCAGCAATGAGCTCTCCAGCTTTGGCTTTGGGGAGCCGGACTCCAGAGACTGAAAAGGAGCAATGAAGAGAGAGTCTGCTGAGAAACACCAGATGCTTGGTCCCCAGGAACTAAGGTGACAGAGTGCAGAGTGCAGGGTGGGGGAAAGACTACTTTAGTCTTCCTAAAGGACAAATAAACAGAGTATTTTATGTGGGCATGTATGGGCAGAGTGAGTGTTTTGGCACCTGAGGTTCAGAAACCTGGATCCCTTTGAAAGCATGTACCAGAATGCAGCTTAAGTGGAGGCTGTTTCTACCTCTGAGCCTTTCCAGACTCACCTTGACACTTTGCAGCCCTTTCCTGTGGAGTAAAACACTCACTCTTACACTCAAATAGAGCAGGCAGAGATAGTCTGGAGAGTGCTGGGTCACTCCTGGTGGACTAGCTGGAGCAGAAATGGAGGCATATGACCCTGGGCTATCTTGTACTTCCACCGGCAGAGAAAACCCAATGTGTAGGCCTTGTCTCACCTTTCAGTGTGGAATCAAGCGGTCCTCCATGTAAGATCACTGAGCTGCCTTGGGAAGGCTCAAGAGACCCTAGAACTGAATGGACCTGCTCTTGGATCACTTCCAAACTCTGGTCAGCAGCCTTAGGTTTGACAAAGGGGGTGCTTGGCATCTAGAACCCAAACAAACAACTTTATTTCACTAGTCATTAGCAAAAACTGTTGACCAGTTCAAGGGGATTTTCCATCCTGCCCCCTCCCTGTGGTGGAACCTATTTCCCCGTGGTTCCCATGATGTGGAAACAAACTCATGCTCCACTTGGCATTCCTGGCTTTGTGGACCCTCATGGTTTTGGCCTCGGTCTCAGCAAAAATGTCCATCTGGCTAGGGAACATTGTCCTGAAAGGCGCGTTGATCTGCCCTGGGGACACGTGGCCATGCTGAGAGCCCTGTCCACTTTCATGTGGTGGCCACCAGGGAGCAGGCAGCGCCCAGATGGAGACAAGAAGACCATAGGGCTAGTGATACGTAACTACAGCCAAATTTGTGCCTGTTACCTGAAGAGGCAGGACAACAGAAGCAATCGGGAAAGGAGAAGCAGAAGAGATGCAGGCTGGAATAAGGAGATAGGACAAGGGCAGGAGAATCAGAAACACCAGCAAGCACAGTAGCATTAATGGGACACACCAATGCCTGGGCTCTTGCACACAGGGGAGTCTAAGGTTTCCCTCTGCACCTACACCTTAGGAGAGATGCTGTTCTACCAGGACAGGATGGCAAAAGCGTTGACAGGGAAGTAGGTGTAGAGGCGCGGCAGGAGGCCAAGTGAATGGCTGCCAACGGAAACGGGAAAGGCAGGAGGCCACATGCTCTTCCCAAACCTCCCTCTGCAAGCTGCCTCACCTGGTCCCTGTGATGCTATCTAGGTGCTTGCCTAACCACCTTTAAAGAAGCCTCAGCAAGCCTCGCTCAACTAGGACACAAAGAACCCTGACGTTTCTTCAGCCGCCCCCTCTAAGGCGAGGGCAGCGCCTACCGCGGCCTGGATGGCAACAGCGGCAACAGCGGCAGCTGCGGCGGCAGCGCGCGCGCGCGCGTGTGGGCTCGCTGATGCTGCGACAGCGAGCGGCTATGGCTGAAGCACTTGCCACACTCTGCACACTCCGCTGGCCGTTCTCCCAAGTGCGTCTTGCGGTGGAGCGCAAGCTTAGAGGCGACGCTGAAGGCCTTGCCGCACTCGGGACATTTGTGTGGCTTGTGGCCAGCATGGTTGCGCCGATGAACGTTGAGATTGGACACGCATGTGAACCGCTTGCCACACAGTTCGCAGCGGTAGGGCTTCTCGCCCGTGTGCGTGCGCCGGTGCTTGGTGAGGTCTGAGCGGTCGCTGAAGCGGCGGCTGCACTCTGGGCACGGGAAGGGCTTCTCGCCGGTGTGGATGCGCTGGTGCACCACCAGGTCGGAGCGCTGCCCGAAACCCTTGCCGCAGGTGGCGCATGCATGTGGCCGCTCGCCCTGGTGGCTGCGCCGGATGGCGCAGCAGCGTGGAACTCTCGCTGAAGCAGCGTCCGCAGTCGCCACATGCGTATGGCTTCTCGCCCGTGTGCGTGCGCTGGTGGCGCACCAGCGTGGCACTCTCCAGGAAGCCCTTGCCGCACTCCGGGCACTTGAACGGTTTCTCCCCCGAGTGCGTCTGCAGGTGTCGCGTCAGCGTAGAGTTCTTGCCAAAGCTCTTGCCGCACACGCCACACAGGTGGGTGTCTGAGGCACGGGGTCGCCTGGGGCTCCGGGACACGTGGACGCGCACGTGGCTCCGCAGTGCGGCGCCGCTTCGGAAGGCTCGTGGGCACTGCGCGCAACGGTGGCGTGGGCCAGCAGGGTCCGAGTTTGTCCCCTTACGGTGCGCCCGCACCTGGTGGAAGCGCAGCGCACTCTGTCGGAATGCGCGGGCACACAGCGGGCAGCGGCGGGGCCGTTCTGGCAAATGATGCCGGCGGCGGTGCAGCAGTAGCGCCGGGAGGTGCGGGAAGCGGCGGCCGCATGTACGGCAGAGGCACGAGCGGCCACGCTGCCGGTGTGTGCCCAAGTGTAAGTCAAGGCGGCTGCTGTGGCGGAAGCTTTGGCCGCACTCACTGCAGATGTAGAGGGTCTGGCCAGCATGGCTGCGCCTGTGCGCCTGGAGGTCGGCAGCCCCTGCGCAGGGCTCGCCGCATTCTAGGCAACTGAAGCGGCTGTCGCCGCCGTGAGATCGTTCGTGTCGTAGCAGCACTGAGCTGTAGCAGAAGCTCTTGCCACACTCGCCGCACATGTAAGGCTTCCCCGCTGCCACCGTTGCAGATATGGTGAACATAGTGAGGATGAGTTCACAGAAGGTGCCACTCACACTCTGGGATCCACCTCCTGATGCTGTGGCTAAGTGTTACTTTTCTTAAGGCCTGGAAAGGGCAATGTAACAGAGAGGAAAGGAGGCGGCCGTGAAAACTGGTCCGATTCCAGGGGTCTTCTCTAAGGGGCAGACACTGCAGCTGTCCAGAGGTGGGATGTGGCCAGTTTCACCCTGCACCACGAGCCTGTGGGGAGAAGGTCATTGTGAGCTTCTGCAGCAGCTCCTGAGTAATGGAGAGGGGAACATGAACTCCCTATTTCTTATACTTCCTCAGGTAATCCACCTCCAGGATTCCCTTCTCCAAGACAAAGCAAAGCCATGAGCGTCCTCGAACCACCTGCGAGGGCAGGAGGGACAAACTACAAGTGTCCTGGAGAACAAACAGGAATCAATTCAAAGGGGAGCTTGCATTCAGCATGGGAGCCATCAACACTGCTCTGAGGGAGGGGAACGCAGATGGGGACCCTTGACTGGAGACATATGAGGAAAGGACCCAGGGGGAATGGGCGGTGAGAGGCTCCCTAGGCTTAGGCTATACCAATGCCTTCCTCCAAGACCCGGGTTTCCTGAGTCACTGTCATGAACCCAGCCAGGCTTGGGTGGCAGGGACAAAGCAGGTAATGTGATGAAGCACAAACAGGTCCAGCAGCAAGAGCCAGCTAAAGGGCTCAGACCCCAAAGTTACTGAAAAGGCTGGGGCCTAGCCAAGGGAAGGCATTTGAGAAACCCCAAAATACTGTTCCTTGGATTTGGACAGCACTTGATAAACACACTATCCCATGCCAGTATACAGCCCCAAAGTTGAGAAAGCAACTCAAGACCCAGAAAAGGGGTAAAAAGGGAGCATAGGTAATTCACAAAAAAATTATTAAAAGTTGGTGGCATTATCCAAGAAATACTTTTCACATTTTCAGGAAACACTGGGGAGAAGGAAGGGGCATCCTTTCTATAGTAATTGTCAGGATATCCAAGTTGTTTGTGAAGGTTTGACTATCATGAATCTGATGAAGAAAACCATATTGTTTATAAACATTCTGCAGCATTTCTTCACTGTCCCAGCTTCTGGGATCTGAGAATCTGGAGTAGCAGAAAAACTCCTTTATGGAGACCAAATCTGCTCTATTATCCTGTTTGTCTCATATGATATCCCTGAATTATTCTGACAAGCTGGTCCAGGCAGCTGTCTGGGAGCAGGGTCAGTCTTTGTAGTATGTGCACGGAACTGCACATGCCCTCTAGTCAAGAGCACAAACGTGGCTGCTCTCCTCACCTGGCTAGCCTCACCACTGACCACTGCTCTCAAGGCCCACGGGTCAATCTCCAGCCTAAATGGACAGTAGTTAGTACAGGATAGCCCTTTGTCACAGATCAGGGAGAGGAGGCACACAAAATGGTCTGCTGTCACTTTCCTCTTAACAGATGAAAGTTCATCATAAATACGCAAAACTTTGGTTAAAAATACCCCCACAGACAGGGTCCTTATGTTTTGGATGCAAATGGGGTGAAGTGAAAAAAGCCTTGAAAATAGCAAACCTGCAAGCCCAGGCTCTGGAGCTTCTGCTCCCCTACAAGGCTGGGCAGGAGTAGCCAGCGTGGGATGTCCTCCTCTTGTGCCTCTGGAGTAGGATGTGCTGTGCCCTGCAGAGGTGAAGTAAAACGGAAAATGTGAATTACAACTGAGAGAGGGAAAAAGGGAGGGAAATATTTTCTGGAGGAAGGTATTTAATGGACATTTTAAAATATAAAAAACTAGGGAGAACAATATCATAAATCACTCACCATTTTATCATTCTTGTTTCATTCACACCACCACTCTGCTTTTTTTTGAAGGGGGGGAGGCCAGGGAAGGTTCTAGAACATTTTAAATCCCAGACATCTTATACAAACAGTATGATTAGTATGATTTTTTTTTTTTTTTGAGACGGAGTTTCGCTCTTGTTACCCAGGCTGGAGTGCAATGGCGCGATCTCGGCTCACCGCAACCTCCGCCTCCTGGGTTCAGGCAATTCTCCTGCCTCAGCCTCCTGAGTAGCTGGGATTACAGGCACACGCCACCATGCCCGGCTAATTTTTAGTAGAGATGGGGTTTCACCATGTTGACAGGATGGTCTCGATCTCTTGACCTTGTAATCCACCCGCCTTGGCCTCCCAAAGTACTGGGATTACAGGCTTGAGCCACCGCGCCCGGCCGATTAGTATGATTTTTAATCAAAAAATTCAAGCAGGAACTCTGGAATAGACTTTTTTTTTTTTTTTTTTTTGACAGCCTCTCTGTGTCGCTCAGGCTGGAGTGCAGTTGCTGGATCTCAGCTCACTGCAACTTCCACCTCCTGGATTCAAGTGATTCTCCTGTCTCAGCCTCCCACGTAGCTGCGATTATTGGCAAATAACACTGTGCCTGGCTAATTTTTGTATTTTTGGTAGAATTGCTGTTTCACCATATTGGCCAGGCCGGTTTTGAACTTCTGATCTAAGGTGATCTCCTCGCTTTGGCCTCCCAAAGTGCTGGGATTACCGGCGTAAGTCACCACACCCAGGCTGAAGCAGACTTCAGGGAGAGTCCCTTGGTTCCTCCAGAGGGACTTTCAACCCAGACACATGAGCTGCTAATTCTAGTTAGACGTCAGTTCAGAGGAATGTTTGCCCTTCTGAAAATAAAAACTTCCCTGGAGACTCAGTGGCTGATCCCAAATGCCAAGGAAAGCAATGCTCATGCCCCACTGAGTGCTCTGCCTCCTCCTTCGGTATCTGGAGACCATGGTACCTCTCAAAGCATATTTCTGGGAGCCCGCCCTTGCCCAGGCCACTGCCTCCCAGGGCACATGCCCAAGGAAGACAAATGCACAAATGCCAACATGCACACATAAATGGCATATAAATAATAATACCATTTCCTTCCATTATGGATGCAGAGTAAGACACTCGCTAGTATGCAGGATTTGGAGCTTGAGTGCCAAAGCAGGCTCTTCAAGTCTCTCTTTTGTATCTCACCCCATGCTGGAGCTCATTCCACAGGCAAAGGGGTCTGTGTTTGGAGTGGAAACCTAAAAGAAAAAATATTACTGTGCCAAAAAAAAGAATGACGTCTAGACCATCCTAATTCCTACTCTTCTGACTGAACGTGAGTTTTTGGAAAGAGGGAAGGGGAAAATCACGTGTGAATTGGTGAAAATTCTCGTTGTTGAATACCTTTCAAGCATTTAATACAAATACTATATATATAACAAAAAACAAAAAACAAAAAAACCCCCGGGTATTAATAAGGAAGATAAGCCAACAGAAAAACTAATATTTATAACATGGTCAAGATGAACTTCTGAGTTTTATATGTCACTTGTTTTTTTTTTTTTTTTTGAAACAGAGTTTCGCTCTTGTTACCCAGGCTGCAGGGCAATGGCGCGATCTCGGCTCACTGCAAGCTCCGACTCCTGGGTTCAGGCAATTCTCCTGCCTCAGCCTCCTGAGTAGCTGGGATTACAGGCACGCGCCACCATGCCCAGCTAATTTTTTTATTTTTTTTTTTAGTAGAGACAGGGTTTCACCATGTTAACCAGGATGGTCTCGATCTCTTCGCCTTGTGATCCACCCGCTTTGGCCTCCCAAAGTGCTGGGATTACAGGCTTGAGCCACCGCGCCTGGCCTATGTCACTTGTTTCTTAATAGATATTGCAGGTATTTTATACCATATCTAAATTAATCACAAATCTCAAATCCAGAGTGTTAGATTTAATCAGGATTTAGAACATTTATCAACAATCTACTGTGACAGATTTTTCTTGAGTTGCATCCTTCAATCAGAATAAAGATTTTTCTCCCCTGGTTATCTGTTTGGCCATGCCAGTATTTCTGGGGTGGGACAAAAGACCTCAAAAAGTCATTATTCACAAGAATCAAGTGGTCACCTTGAAATCAGAGTTGGTAAACATGGTCTGGACAGCAAGGATTAGGGCTGAGGGGAACTCTCCAGTGCTGTGCTGTCAACTACAGCAGCCCAGAGCCACATGTGGTGACCGAGCACTTGAAACATGATGGTTCAAATTGAGATAAGTGGTAAGAGCCAAATACTCTCCTCATTTCCAAGACTTACTATTAAAAAGAATGCAAAATACTTCATTAATAATGTTTAGTATTGATTACATGCTGAAATGATTTTTTTTGATATATTGGGTTAAATGAAATACATCAGAATACATTTTGCCCATTTTTAAAGAAAATTTAAGATTACAAAAGTGGCTTATATTTTATTTCTGTTGGATAGTGCTTGTCCAAATGGCCTTTCCAAATCCTTGAACAAACAAATGGGGGCTGGCCCACTTCCGTCCTTAGAGGGCTTTAGTTGGGAAAAGTTCACTGACCCTGCCTGACCTTCAGAGCTTCAGTAAACATAGAGTTCCTCTCATTTTCCAAGACCTTAGTTCCTAGCCACCCTCTATAGAAAAGTCCACCTGCTGTTTTGGAAACTGGACATCTAGACCTGGTAGGGAATTGGGGTTATGACTTATGGAAAACCTTCTCTCATTGTGACTCTCAGGTGAAAGCATACCAGTTGTTACTGGTAACACACAATCACATGTTTGTCCATGTTTCCCTTTCGTCCTCCCAGTAGCCCTTTGGGTGGCTGTTACCAGTAGCCCACATGTGACATGGGCTTCCTATGCAGGCTTGTCCAGTCAGCACAAGTGCACAGCTGGGTCTGGGGACAAGAGTAAGGCAGCAGGCCAGATAGCCCATCTCTCACTCTCCCTGGGGCAGCCCCCACCCCTTCCTAGAGGCCCCAGGAGGCTTGTAGCAGCTCACTCAACACCAGGGACAGACCTGGCTGGGAAGTTCACAGAGAAGCACCAGGCAGCCAGGTAACAAGGAGGCAAAATGCCAACCCCAAGAACCACCACTTCGGGCCCTAGGATTGCTCTGTGTGCGCTGTGTTAACCTTAAAGCTCTGGTCCAGAAATGGAACGGTCCTCATGACGAGGGGCAGGAACTGGCAGTGGGAGGATGGGAGTTGTAGCTGCATAAGGAGAGGTGATTCTTCTGCTGGCTTCTCCTTGTATTCTTACCCCTCAGGATCTGAGTGATGCTGCTATCTATAGGATTCTGTGATACCCCTAGACTGCCCTGAAATCCAGATGAGATAGAAGCAAATTATCCATTCCCCACTCTAGAAAGGGTATGGAGAAGAAGTTTCCCTGGCCTTCAGAAGGCAGCTATGGGGCCTTGCCACTTACAGTTCCTTCTACCAGCAAAACTCTCTCACTCCCTCATTCAGGACTGTCTACTTAACCCTTTCCCAGAGAGGCTCCTCCTGCCTCCATACCTACCTCACACTCATTGCTTAGCTTTATTCTTCCTTATCTGGGATGCTCTGGCCACACTGGCCTTCAGCATTGCCTGTGTCTCAAAGGAACAGGATAAACTCTCACTCTATGTTCTCTGTCTACATCCATACCTTCTCTACGCTTCCCAGATTTCACAGGAAAATCTTTGTGAAACCAAAATTTTCAAAAGAATATATGTGGACCATGATCAGACTTGGGCACGCGGGGTAGGAGTGAACTGTTATTCCTGTTTCCACCAGCACCTTAGACATGTCAGACTGAATCTGAAGCTGGAAGAAGAATATATTAATCAGTGAATTTAACAGGAAACAGGGATTACTATCCACTCTGGAAAGATTTAAGCCCTAATCTAGGAGGTGCTGATAGGGTGTGGAATTCAGAGCACCAGAATTGCCACTCCCTGCTTCCTTCTCTCCATAAAGAAACAAAATCCAGTACTTCAAAAGAAGTTGCTCCTTCCAGCTTCAGATTCAGTCTATGTTTAAGGAGTGGTGGAAATAGGAATGACAGTTCGCTCTCACCCAAGTGTTCCAGTCTGACGGTGAGCCAATATGTTTTTATTTTGGAGACGGAGTCTCACTCTGTTGCCCAGGAAAAAGTCCAGTGGCACCATCTCAGTGCGATTTCGGCTTACTGCAACCTCTACCTCAGAGGTTCAAGTGATTCTTGTGCCTCAGCCTCCTGAGCAGCTGGAATTACAAGCTTGAGCTACCACAGCTAATTTTTACATTTTTAGTAGAGGCAGGGTTTTGCCATATAACCCAGGCTGGTCTCGAACTCTGGGCCTCAAGTGATCCTCCTGCTTCAGCCTACCAAAGTGCTGGGATTACAGATGCAAGCCACTAGGCCCGGCCCAAATACATTTTTTGGGGAAGTTTTGATTTCACAAAGATTTTCCTGTGAAATCTGGGAGCCATAGAGAAGGTATGGGTGTAGACAGGGAAAGAAGAAACACAGTGAGAGTTTGTCCTGTCCCTTTGAGACACAGGCAACACTGAAGCCTAGAGTGGCCAGAGCATCCCAGATCAGGGAGAAGGGATTATAAGGTATTGTGCACCTTCCTTGGGCCTAGCAAGGACCTGGGCACACAGAAGGCACTCAGCGCTTTTTATAAGTGACATATTAGTCTGGAATCCAGTTTTCCCAAACGTTAGGTTCCTGGAGGAAAGAGCCTGACTACAGTCATCGTATCTGCCATAGCGCTACCTGCTGCATATACTGCAAATACTCTGCTTTGGTTTACTGAGTTGAGCCTGCAACCTGTGTAGCAGAGAGAGAGAGGCAGGAGTCCAAATTCTGTTTTTTCCCACTACTAGCTGTCTGATCTTGGACAGAAGACTTGGAGTGTCTGATCCTCCTGCCTGGGAAAACTTTAGTAAAGAAAGTGTGGTGGCTCATGTCTGTAATCCCAGCCCTTTGGGAGGCCAAAGCGGGCAGATCACCTGAGGTCAGGAGCTGGAGATCAGCCTGGCCAACACGGTGAAACCCCGTCTTTACTAAAAACACAAAATTAGCTGGGCATGGTGGTGTGTGCCTGTAGTCCTGGCTACTTGGGAGGTTGAGACAGGAGAACTGCTTGAACCCGGGAGGTAGAAGTTGCAGTGAGCTGAGATTGTGCCACTGCACTCCAGCCTGGATGACAGAGTGAAACTCCGTCTCAAAAAAAAAAAAAAAAAAAAAACTAAGTCTTGCTGGGCATGGTGGCTCACACTTGTAAACCCAGCACTTTGGGAGGCCGAGGCAGGTGGATCACTTGAGGTCAGGAGTTTGAGACCAGCCTGGCCAACATAGTGAAACCCCGTCTCTACTAAAAATACAAAAATCAGCCAGGTGTGGTGGCGCCCATCTGTAGTCTCAGCTACTGGGGAGGCTGAGGTGGGAGGATCACATGAACCCAGGGGGCGGAGGTTGCAGTGAGCCAAGATCACACCACTGTACTCCAGTCTGGGCAACATAGTGAGGCTCCATCTCAAAGAAAAAAAAAATTGCTAAGACTGAGAACTGCGGTTGTCCAGTATTTAGGATTTACTCTCCTTAGAACAGTGCCTTTTGTTGTTTGTTTTTTTGAGACAGGGTCTTGCTGTCACCCAGGCTGGAGTGCAGTGATTTGATCACTGGCTCACTGCAGCCTCGACCTCCTGGACTCAAGTGACCCTGCAACCTCAGCCTCCTGAGGAGCTGGGACTATGGGCTCATGCTACCACACCCGTTTAATTATTATTATTATTTTGTAGAGATGAGTGTTCTCACCATGTTGCCCAGGCTGGTCTTGAACTCCCGAGCTCGAGAGCCTCCCCCTTTGGCCTCTCAGAGTGCTAGGATTACAGGTGTGAGCCACTGTGCCCAGCCCTGGACAGTTCTTTTTTTTTTTTTTTTTTTTGAGACGGAGTTTCGCTCTTGTTACCCAGGCTGGAGTGCAATGGCGCGATCTCGGCTCACCGCTACCTCCGCCTCCTGGGTTCAGGCAATTCTCCTGCCTCAGCCTCCTGAGTAGCTGGGATTACAGGCACGCGCCACCATGCCCAGCTAATGTTTTTTTGTATTTTTAGTAGAGACGGGGTTTCACCATGTTGACCAGGATGGTCTCGATCTCTTGACCTCGTGATCCACCCGCCTCAGCCTCCCAAAGTGCTGGGATTACAGGCGTGAGCCACCGCGCCCGGCTGGCCCCCACGATTAAACAAGGGAAGCTGGCTACTCATTTTGGG